GTACTGCGTGGTGTTTAACAAGTTGTTTTCGCATTGACACGACATTTAATTATTTTTCTAATACAATCACCGTATTGTTTTAATCCGTTGCCTTAGCGAGACTTTTATTTCTTACCACCACTACCACCACCGCAACTATAATTATTACTGTTGTTGTTGCTATTTCATCGCGACCAAGTCTTTAGTAGACAATCTTTCATCGACGGCATTTCATTTGTATTTTATGCTATTCCGTCCTTAGCGTCGCTATCACGTCCTTGACGCGGTTTCGTGTTCTTTAGCCGTCATTTTAAATCTTTGAAGCATAATGTATTGCTAATATTTGCTCGATAAACGTATTCGATATTACTGATACGCAGGGCAAACGTATAACAACAATACACGGTATGTGGTAGGCCCGATAATTAATGAGGTAACAATACATTGAAGGAGGGCGGGCAGATTTATCGAAAAATTTTATGTTTCAGAAGGAGTCTCGAGAGAAAAGTCGGTAAATTATCGATTAGTTCAGCAAGTCGTTAAATTCTCGTTCCCACCACCCACTCGGGCGAAATGTCGATGACCGGATAGTGAAAGCACTCGTGTAGTTGCTCGAAGAGTAAAGGCCGTACCTGGAGATGGAGCCCCAGGTGCCGCCGCGAGTCGCCGAGGATCTCGAGTGCACGGTTTGAGGTACGATGGGAGGTGGTGGCTGTTTGTTCCTTTTGGGCTCGACGTCCAGGGGGCTCGAGAGCTGCTCGACGGAGCGCGACAGCGAGGAGTTGTCCATCGACCTGGAGAAGGCATTGAGCGGCGACAGAGTTGGGCTGCAGTCCTTGGGTGTCGTCGCTAAAAAAAAAAACAAATCTCCTATCGTTATCGTCGTTTATCGAGTCGATCGCCAAAGGGGAATAGACGGCAAGTTTGTCGACGACTTAGCGAGACGCCCTGGCAATTATACGAGTCGCGCGTTAACAAACACAGACGTAAATTCACAAGCTCGTTTAAGACATCAATGGTGCACCATAAACATTATACGCGCGGCATCGTTTCGCTTCGTACTCGACTTTATATTGCCGTGTATGATTTATTTTACAGCTCTATCCTCCTCTCCTTCGCTCGACAATGCGAATCATGTATGCGATAATGCAATGCGGTACTGTGTTTTCTCGCTAATATCATAATCATCATGCTCATGCAAACTTTTATGCTACGTGTAACATGTACGTGCACACATACATGGACATGTGGTTATTTACGAAGCTGATTCGTTGATGCGGTGTTTTGGGTAAGTGTGAGGAGAGTATGAAGGAGCTGGGGGATAATTCGGCAAGGATTCGGCAAACTTTCATCAATAGCGAGCAAAAGATCGAAGAAGCTGCCCGACGCAGTAAACGATGACGCATCCTGCGCATTCGACGAATAATATTTCCTTTATAAAACGAATATGCAGGGAAGATGAAAGCATTAGCTTCCATGAGCGAACGACGAACTTTTGTGCCGTCGCGAGCATATTAAAGTTCTTGAAGGTTAAATGAGCGCAAGGAAAACGATTGCGAGCCCAGCAACCCCTGAAATCCATCGAGCGAACGACGAACTTTTGTGCCGTCGCGAGCATATTAAAGTTCTTGAAGGTTAAATGAGCGCAAGGAAAACGATTGCGAGCCCAGCAACGAGAGAGAGAGAGAGAGAGAGAGGGAGAGAGAGAGAGAGAGACTCCCCCTTTCGCCCTCGTTCCCGCCATCACGTTCCCCTGACTACGCCATCACCCACGAGGATACGATTTTTTCTTCCCGGCGGATTAAAGGAGTGAGGAAAGTTTGCCGATTTCGTCTACGGAGGTTGAAAGTATTTTAAGGGCCTCGGTAAGGTGTGGGAGTAAGCTGCTGCGTAACACGGGACATGACGATACGACGAGACAAAGGCGCTCGCAGCCGCGTGCACACGTGCACGTGCTTGCAATCACCGATAAGACTTACATTGGTACATGTGGGGCGGCGCTACGGAGGAGACCACGGAGATGCTGTCCACGTCGAGACCGCTGCCCTCGACCGTGATCGTTGGCGTGCCTGGACGAAATACAGCATGGGGGTGAGCGCGGATCCGTGATATTCTGACTCTTATTCTAGCGATTATGTTCTTTCCCAACCCCCTTGTCCCTACTATCCCCTTCTCGATCCTCCTTTTTCCTTCTCATTGTAATTTGTCCACTGTATGTGGATTTTTGTCTTTTATTACATTTGTACTGCATGCGTGGATCACGTGACGGCTTGTGCTCCGATAAGATTTTCGGGGTATCGCAGTTTTTTAGCCGGAGCTTAGTGCTCCGATTATTTGTTTTTGTTATTCTGTTTTGTGTTTTCCGTTTTGAAAATACGCGATTCGATCTCACCGTGGAGCACTTATTTGATGTAGGATTCTTTAGTTTTTCGTAAATTACAAGAGGCAAAGCGAATCAATAATCCCAATAAACAATACAATTAGTAGCTTATAATTTTATCGATACTTTCACTTGCTTAACTAACGCTTTTGAGAATTGCGGTCACTTTGATGAATAATTTGAAAAATTAATTACCCACGAATATAAAGGGATTTACAAATTACACTCAATACATGGTAATAATATGATTATTTTTTTCTTACTTTGATAATAGTAAACTTCATGGTTACGATTGATTTTATCATAATATATTTAATCATAATTATCGACTTTTAAAAGAAATCTCTTTTTAAAAGGAATTACACGAGAGATTATACGGACAAAGTAATCCCTTCTCGTTTGTATTTCATTTTTATTTTATCTTGTTTTTGTTTTTGTTTTTTTTTTTTTTTTTGTCTTTTGTTTTTAATTCTTTAATCTGCTCATCCGTTTTCTTATTATTATGGTGCTCTGTTGGTTCAATCGAGCGAAGCGATATTAATCATTATATGTATAATTATTGGTATGTGTATGTGTATTTTGCATGCTTACAAAGTGTCTTTAAAAAGTTTTATTTAAATATTGCTAGTGCTCTTGTAAGTAAGAATAATTATTTTCTAACAGGACTAAACTAGTTTTCCAACGAGCTAATAAGTTGCGTGTTAAGTGAATTGAAATTATGTGGATGACACATGCATCTTACGAGGAAGACCAAATGATATTTAAAAATGTAATCGTAACATATTTATTCTCCGATAATATTGTTGAATTTTTAACAATATCGGCAGTTTGGTTAATTTCTATTCGATATAGCAGGTCACAAGAAATATCTACTATAAGTCCAGTAATTTACGTTGCCATGAAAAATGTATATAATGTAATTAGAATGCAAACATATATGTGACTGTGTAATTAGATTGTGATGTAAAGGAAACACATTTTCACACATATAAATGAAAGAATATATGCATTGCAAAAGTATCATAAATGATGCGTGTATAATGAACATTTTTAAAAATGATTATTTAAAATATGTTTTACAAAGTACATTGCAAACACGATATGAAATCATTATAATAAAATGCTCTTTTTAAGAATTATTTCGACATAACGATTGAAATCAACGATAATTTTTAGTTTTTAATAAATATTTGTAAAACTATGGCAATTATGCTTGCGAAGAACAAATTTTCAAATGATAAAATTCGATAAATCTATTTAGAATTCTATTACACATTTTTTAATTCCTAGATTATAAATGGCAGTTAATCTCATAAGCGAACCCATATTATCAACGTTTGAATATGCCTCGAGCAAAATTAACCCCCAACTACCCAAGTGTAACTTACGTACACCACCTGATATCGAAGTCGTTATAACTTTATGAACATTGTGTTCTAGAGCTTATAGACCGAGTGTATATCTATAAAATGTGATTAAGATAATTTAAGATACTAATATGAAAGTTTTATATGCATATATATATATATATATATACAAAATTCATTTCTTCCCTTAAGTTTAAGTAAAATGGATATTATCACGCGTTACTTTACCAATATAAAACGACTAAAAGAAATACTTATGCGAGTTCTTATGGATAAATTTATTATTTTATCAAATGTATTGTTAAATTTTTTTAATCTAATTCTTTTATCTTGATATTATAATTCAAGGGATTTCATTCTGTGTCTTTTTTTTTTATTTAATTATTTTTACTCTGTCAAGCTAATTGTATGAAAAAGAAAATCAAGTTTTCTTAAATTTTTGTTAATCAAACTTTATAAAGTTTTTTATAGTATGCTAACATAAACTTATGTATAAACATCTTACTAGTATTGTTTTCATTTTCGTTTTTTTCTTTTTTTAATATATATAAGTTGTAATATATTCTATAATAATATTGTATACGTATGGTTAAATAGATATTTTTTATCGATAATTGATACTCGATGTGTCTTTACTATAGTGTCCCTTTCAAAAACTGAAAATTAAAATGAAAATGAAACCACTTTAATTTAAGACATCGAGGATGCTAAAACCATTATTGATTTCTCATTATGTTTATGAATTGTAGGCGAATTTATGGTGAGTTTATAGACTAAAATTTTAAGATAATTTGAAAATGAACGAAGATGGTACTATATGGCCACGAATATTAATTATTTGACCTTTGAATGAATTTTATTAGCGATATATTATATTTATATATATACACGCACATATTTATTATATATTGGCCTTTTAAATTTTAATCAGACAATTTAATATTTGAAGTTTTAAAAATAACAAGGCCAAATTAAAATTCATCCGCGTTTCAATTGTTGAAACGAATTATGGACACTTGTCGAAGAATTAACTATAATAACCGTAATTTCTACAATGCAATTTCATTTCCATAAATTATTCGTATATCTCGTTGGGCTTGTAGCTCAATGCAATCGCGTGAAATATGGCCTTTAATATTACCGGTTAACTAAACTCACAATAATTGCTCTTTCCCCATGAAAATAAATCAAAAGAGGCATAAAATATACAATATACATTCTATGACTTCGAAAACTACACGACCACTGCCGAAAAAAAATCAACGACAGCCCCC